CCCCCCCCCCTTGTTTACAAGCTTGAGAAACTACGGAGGGTCCCTTCTAAGCCTCTCACCCTGTCTGTTACACAGCTGAGGGCTCTGCTGTCTCTTATCTGACTGTTCCCGAGCAGGGCCCCTTTGCTCCTTCTTCCAAGGTCTTCCCCACCTATCATTACACATACCTGCAGGCAATAACTCTTTCCACACATCTATCCCCCTCCTCCTTTTACAGCCTGGAAAATCAGGGGAGGGTCCCTTCCAAGCTCTTTCTACATCCATTATGCAGCTGAAGGCTATGCTCTGTCTCTTATCCCTGCGTCCCATCTCTCAAGGTCTTTTGCACATGCCTTTACATCCTACCAAGCACATCACGAAATTAATTTTTTAGTACTGACCGAGCATCCCTTTGTTCCAGGGACGTGATTGTGCGCAACACTGGGCCTGGGTTTGTGCAAACGTGCATTTGGGCCTCTGTACACACACTTGCAGAAGCTGATCACCCCCTACGCTTACTCTTGTTGTCCAGCTGGGCACGGTACTTGTCAAAGCCAAGCAGGCGGATCCGCTCGCCCAGAAGGTTCAGGAACTCCTCAAAGGTGGGTCCAGACTTCTCATTATTGTACATGTCCTCTTCCGAGCCCTGCTTCTCCCGGCAATACAGGACCCCCACTTTGCGCTGGAAGCTGAGCTGCAAGAATCGAAAAAGCGAAACAAAAGTGGAACAGAAGACTGGCAAGAGAAGAAGCAACAGATGGAAACTAATCAAGGAGAGAAGCAACCTAGAACTAAGGAGAAATTTCCTGACAGTGAGAACAATTAACCAGTGGAATTACCTGCCTCCAGAAGCGGTGAATGCTCCAACGCTGGAAGTTTTTAAGAAGATGTCGGCTACCCTATTTACCACAGTCACAACTTACAACCGTTAACGGCCAGGCTCCACTATGGCCGTAACTTGAGGATGACCTGTACTAGGCCCTCCGACTTACCCCTTGCTCGTCCAACTTCAGCAACGTCTCGGGGACTTTTGGGGAGCTGGAAGCGAGACGGAGACACTGCAGGTTGAGCTCCGGCATGAGGTGATCCAGCAGCTTCTTGGGAGGGACACCACGGGGAGATCCATGGCGAGCGGTGAGAGGCAGCCCATCCTCCAAAATGGATCCACGCAGAGTCCGCAGCTGGGAGGGAGGGAGGGAATGAGAGGTCAAAAGGGGAGAGGGAAAGAAAGATGTTGAGAATAACAGAACAGAATAACAAAGCTGGAAGGGACCTTGGAGGCCTCCTAGTCCAGCCCCCTGCTCAAGCAGGAGAACCTATACCAGGGGTAGGCAACCTTGGCTCTTTCATCACTTGTGGACTTCAACTCCCAGAATTCCTGAGCCAGCCTGGCTCAGCTTGGAAACCTCTCTCTTTCCCCTCAGCATGGCTGGCTCAGGAATTCTGGGAGTTGAAGTCCACGAGTCATAAAAGAGCCAAGGTTGCCTACCCCTGCTCTCTATCATCTCAGACAGATGCTTGTCCAATGTCTTCTTGAAAGCCTCCAGTGATGGAGCATCCAGAACTTTTAGTGGCAAGGCGTTCCACTGGTCAATTGTTCTGTCAGGAAATTATTCTTTAGTTCTAGGTTGCTTCTCTCCTTGTTTAGTTTCCATCCTGCCTTCAGGTCCTGCCTTCAGGTGCTTTGGAGAATAGGGTTGACCCCCCCCCCCCTTCTTTCTTGTGGCAGTCCCTCAAATATTGGAACGCTGCTATCCTGTCACCTCTAGTCCTTTTCTTTTTTTCCATAACAGAATAACAAGAGTTGGAAGGGACCTTGGAGGTCTTCTAGTCCAACCCCCTGCTCAAGCAGGAGACTCTATACCATTTCAGACAGATGGTTGTCCTGTTTCTTTTTGGAAACTTCCAATGCTGGAGCATTCACCACTTCTGGAGGCAGGTTGTTCCACTGATTAATTGTTCTCACTATCAGTGGTCAGAATGCAGTATTGCAGACTAACTCTGCCCACTACCAGGAGTTCAATCCTGACGGGCTCAAGGTTGACTCAGCCTTCCGTCCTTCGGAGGTCGGTAAAACGAGGACCCAGATTGTTGGGGGCAAATATGCTGACTCTGTAAACCTCTTAGAGAGGGTTGTAAAGCAGCGTGAAGCGGTATATAAGTCTAAGTGTTATTGCTATTGCCCTTCCTTCCTTCCTTCCTTCCTTCCTTCCTTCCTTCCTTCCTTCCTTCCTTCCTGGTGGTTAGAATGCAGAATTGCAGGCAAACTCTGCCCACAGCCAGCAGTTCGATCCTGACCGGCTCAAGGTTGACTCAGCCTTTCGTCCTTCCAAGGTTGGTAAAATGAGGACCCAGATTGTTGCTGACTCTGTAAACCGCTTAGAGAGGGCTGTAAAGCAGCATGAAGCGGTATATAAGTCTAAGCGCAACTGCTATGCTTTTCAGTGCTGTTGTAACTTCAAACGGTCACTAAACAAGGCGAGGACTTTGTAAGGCAGTAGCTCTGCTCCCTTTCTTCCAAGGGACTCTGGGCATCTCCCGTCTCCTCCCCACAACCTCGAGTCACGCCCCTGCTTTCTCTGTGCACAATTTGCGCGCCCAAGACCAACGCTCACCTGGCTTGTGCGAATGATAAGACGGTAATTAAACTGAGGACCCGCGCTGCCTTCCTTCTCTTCGCGACGGAGTGAAATGGCCACCGCGCCCAGCTGATCATCCACCCCGAAGAAATTTTGGTGTTCTGGGGAAAAAAAGCAGAAGGAGACGTAGATTTATTTAAGGCAACGCAAAAAGAAAGACGAGAAAACACACCCTTGAATATGCAGTTGTATTTGGTGCCAAGGCTCTCCTTTTTCACCGGCCTGGGGGACTAGGCCAGAAATATTTGAAAGAGGAAACGCAGTATTATTTTTTCTAAAAAAAAAGGAAATGAGGAAATGGTAATATTATAGTATCGCCCTGCACCACAGGAAGTCGAGACAACTTACAGCAAAAAAAAAAAAAAATCTAAAAGGAAAGATAACACATCGATGCCTTCCAATAAACTTTTTTTTTAAAAAAAAACCCTCTCTTCGGTCGTGTTTTCTCAACCTCGGTCATTTGAACACGCGAGGACTTCAGCTCCCAGAATTCCCCAGCCGACTATGGGGAATGGCTGGGGAATTCTGGGAGTTGAAGTTCCTGCGTCTGAAAAGTCCCGTGTTTCCCCGAAAACAAGACCCAACCGGAAAATAAGCCGTAACTTGAATTTTTTCAGGATGCTTGTAATATAAGTCCCACCCCAAAAATAAGTCCCAGTTAAGATCGTCAGCCAGATGGATGGATTTAGTATCGTATTTCCCTGAATATAAGACCTAACTGGAAAATAAGCACTACTAGTGCATCTTTTGGAGCAAAAAATTAATATAAGACCCGGTCTTATTTTCAGGGAAACACGGTAGAGCCAAGGTTGAGAAACACTGTTTTATAAATATATTATGAATACTCAAATCTGTATTGCATACAAATATGTACGTGGATATGGGATTTGCACACCAGCCCAGGCTAAGCTAAAATGGGAGTTTGGGATCTAGTACAGGGGTCCTCAAACTCGGCAGCTTGCTGACTTGTGGACTTCAACTCCCAGAATTCCTCAGCCAGCCCTGCCAAGTTTGAATGCTGGCTGAGGCATTCTGGGAGTTGAAGTCCACAAGTCTTAAAGTTGCCAAGTTTGAATGCTGGCTGAGGCATTCTGGGAGTTGAAGTCCACAAGTCTTAAAGTTGCCAAGTTTGAATGCTGGCTGAGGCATTCTGGGAGTTGAAGTCCACAAGTCTTAAAGTTGCCAAGTTTGAATGCTGGCTGAGGCATTCTGGGAGTTGAAGTCCACAAGTCTTAAAGTTGCTAAGTTTGAATGCCGGCTGAGGCATTCTGGGAGTTGAAGTCCACAAGTTTGAAGACCCTTGATCTAGTATATTGTAGGAATTCTAAGCATACTTAGTTTTAGCCTAATGTACCAACTAGGCCATTGCATTACAGATAATCCTTGATTTATGACCACAGCTGAACTCAAAATGTTTGCAAGTCAAGGACTACCCTTATAGGGTCTTTTTAATCGTGCTGTCAAGTGCACTTTTAAAATATTGCGTTAATTACATTTCTTCTTAACCTGGATGTTTTTTAGGGGGGGGAATTGTTGAGCAAATTCCTAAAACAAGGAAAGACCACAGCTCAGGGTTTCAACCCCACCCTGCTTGAAAGACAGACCCAAATCCCCTTTTTGCAACACTGAGATTTATTGCCCTCAATCCGGTCTCCTTTCGTCGTCGTGGCGTGCCTTATTTCCAAAAAGGTGGCAGAGAAAAAGCCTTGGCAACTTTCACCAGGTTTATACTCTCTTCTTTTGCTGTAAAGTTCACCGATTCGGGGTGGGGGCAAAAAAAAAAAAAAAAAAAAGGCCACATCAATGAACTTCAAAGCACTTTAAGCTTGTTCATTTGACTCTGATGCGGAGATGATGCAGAGTCAGCCATGGCGGCTTCTGGGAGAAGCGGTCACGTGAAAGGGAAACAAACCCAGGCAAAACAAAGAACTATTCTAGCTTCTATTTTAAAACCACGGGAAGGATCCAGTCAGAGGCGTCTTAGCCACAGAGACATCAAAGTGCTCCATCCTGGGAAGAATGGCGAATCAAGTCAGAGTGGAACACTTGGATGTCCCAAATGATTCTGCACTGGAAGGTTAAATCTAATGGAGGACTTAATTCGAACTGGAGACAGCTCCCGGACTACAGTTTAACCCAGATGAGTGGTTCAGCACCCCAAATACGGCTTGGCTACGTCTGGGTGGTCCTCGACGTACGACCACTGTTGGAATCCCTATTTCCGTCGCCAAGCCAAGCGGTTTGTTCACTGGGCTGCGACTGACTTTACGACATTTCCCAGGGTGGTTAAGTAAATCACTGCCATTGTTGATAAGTGCAGTTGTTACACGAATCCCGCTTCCCCCCTTGACTTGGCTCCTTGGAAGCCGTCTGGGAAGGTCAAAAATGGAGGATCACGTGATCCCAGTTCATGCCGGCTGCCAAGCGCTTAAATTTCGGATCACGTGACCACGTGGGGATGTTGCAACAGGCATCAGCCCCTGAGCCAGTCGTAAGACACTTTTTTCAGTGCTGTTGTAACTTAGGACGGTCGCTAAATGAACGGCTGCAAGCCGAGGACCACCCGTGTTTCAACTTGATGTGAAATTGCAGCTCATGGTGCATTTTCCCTCTGCTCTCCTCCCCCTCCTTCTCCCGGATGCCCCTCGTTCACCTTTGCCGTAAAAATGCTTCCGGTAGTAACAGGCTCCGAGATCGGCATACTCGATGGCGTGCATCACACGGCTGCTCCTCTGTCCGTAACTTTCACGGGGTTCCTCCAGCACCGATACGGCCATGTTTGGACAGTGGAAGCCCGCCGGTAGCCCCCGGTGTTGGCCTAGCCCCCGTTCCACTTCCCCTCCGGCTTCCACGCGAAAGGCGGAGCAGCTGAGCACCAGCGTGCCCCCTTCTTCCTCTTCGGCTCCGTCCTCCAGAATCAGCGTCACGTCCGCCGTGCGGGACTGTGAAGCCGCCGAGGCACCCGTGGTGATGTTGCACTGCCTGGCTGCTTCCTGGGCCCCCTCGCCGGGCTCAAAGAGGATACTCTGGACGTCGTAATGGGCCAGGTGGCGGCCCCACACCGGCGTGGCCGCCTCCGATGCAGGAAGGGATACGCTGGTCTCCGCTGACGGGGTGCCGCCCCTCTCCGATTCCCACACGTCCGAGGACGCCAGTCCCAGCAGGAGCAGGGGGTCGCGGAAACGCCGGGCGGTGGGACTGCCCACCCGGGACTCTTCGTGGCTGTGTGCCCGGGCTCGAGGGGGCGCCATGCTCTTTGAGGGCATGACGGGGCTGCTGCTGTTTCGCTGGAACCCTGTCCCGGAGGCTACAGCCAGCGGCAACGACGAGCTGGGAGTCCCTGCTGCGGCCGCCAGCTCCCCTTCGCTCAGGGTCACATCGCTGTTACTGCGATGCATGAGACCGCTGCGCTGCGGCGACCTCAGCGGCGGTCCACAGTGGCCCACTAGTGGGCCTTCGCCCACCTGGGGCTTGGGGGCCCGGAAGTTGTCAAAGGAGAACGAGGTGAGCGGCGGGCGGTTCGAGTGGCGTCGCATCTTACGAACGAAGAGATCGTCCGACTGCATCGCCCCGACCGGCGTGCGGTGCTTGCGCTCAGGATTCCGGATCCCGCCCTTGTCTCTGATTGGAGGGAAGGCCCCTCTGCCTTTCCAGTTCGCCAGCCAACCGAGGACTTCCGAGACAGCCAGCGGTGGTCAAATGGACAAAGAAAGGCAGAGCGCTCCCCATGGGGAGACGCTTGCCAACCGTTTGGAAAAAGAGCAATTCCTGGAGCCGACGTCCACGCCGTAGTTAAGGGTCAGCACACTGCAGCCAGGGAGGTCGCAAAGGCCGGGAAGGGGCAGTGGTGCCACGCCATCTTGGAATTGTTTCTTGGATTAGAAAAGAGACAATGAACCGTTAGAACTGGGTAGGGGACAATCAGGCACTTTGCATCAAAATAAACGAAGAACCAACCCAACAGTGTTAAAAATGCAGGCAGTCCTCAACTAACGACCACAATGGATCCCAAAGTTTCTGTTGCTAAGCCAGACACCTGGGAAGTGAATTTTGGCCTAGGTTACGACCTTTCTTGCCACAGTTGTTAAGCAAATCACTGCAGTTGTTAAGTTAATAACCCGGTTGTTAAGTGAAACCGGCTTCCCCCGTTGACTTTGCTGGTCAGAAGGTCGCAAAAGGGGATCCCGTGACCCCGGGACACCGCGACTGTCATAAATATGAGTCAGTTGCCAAGTGCCTGAATTCTGGTCGTGCGACCACGGGGAGGCTACAACGGTTGTACATGTGAAAATGGTCATAAATCACTTTTTTCAATCCCATTGTAAGTTCCAACAGTCTCTAAATGAATGGCTGTAAATCAATGACTATGTGTAATGCATTATCCCAGTACAGGATGTGCATGTGTGTGTGTGTGTGTGTTCAAAATATACTAGTCTCCCACTAACTCTTTGTCAGCCACAAAATTTTTGAATTTACAATGTTCACAATATGTGACGTCTGCCTGCAAAACATGCTCCTAAATTGGAGCAAAACGCAGAACAGACGGATTTATTTTATCCTATACTTGGTAGACCGGGTGCTCCAGCCAACACACACGCATGCACGCACGCACGTATGTATATTTACATCCTGTACTGGGGTAATGCATTACACATAGTCATTAGTCATAGTCATGTATATATAGTTTCATTCGGGTATTTTGCAAATGTCATCTGGAGTTGCAAGTCCTAAACGAAGAGTCTCTAGTTTCTAGTCCTCAAGGTGCTGGGTGAATTAAAGGGTGCACAAAACCACATGATATCAACTGTTCCATTATAGAGCACTATAGTCTGCTCTCATTGGCAAAATCCTTCCAAGCTTTCAGGCCAACCGTTTTCTCTTTTTGTTCCAGGGATAACTTATTTAATCAAAACATTTAACAGAATAAATAGCTACCTAAAAGAAAAAGCAGACAGAATAATAGTGGATACAGAATAAAATATCAGTACAGCTAGTCCTTCACTTATGCCTGTTTGAAGTTACAAAGGACATCCCCCCCCCCCCCAAAAGCTATTTACAACCCAGTTCTGAAGCTTGCATCTCCCCTGTGGTTCTGTGATTGTATTTGGTGTGCTTGGCAACCGGCTCACACTTACATCCGTTGGCACCATCCCACATTCAAATGAGCCTGATTTACGAGGCTTTTGCCCCAAAAAACGAGCATTTATTTCTAGTTTTCAGCCAAAAATGTAAATAAATTCCCACAACCCCATAGCGAACGACGAGTTCGCTTAATGACGGTTGTGAAATTGGGCCCGATCACATGATGTCCCATTTTACGACCGTCACAGCTTGCAGGATCCATTACGGTCGTAATTCGAGGACTCCCTGTAATTAAAAATTGACAGTCACCTTACAAAACTAAAAAAAATCAGCATTTCTTTGCTTCATTTATCCACCCTGGCCTAGTTTGACAAGACTGAGGATTCAGACTAGAAAAAGGCATATGAGTGGATCGAACTATTGTCCATTCAGCCTGATACGACTTGCTGGCAGCAGCTTCCATGGGGGGTGGGGGCAAGGCTTTTTATTACCCACAACCCCCCCCCTTTAAGCAGGAAATGCTGGGAACTGAATCTGAGTCCACAGAACCACGTTAAGTGGACTTTTCCCCTGCAAAATCTCCCTTGCACATCCTGAAATTTGGCTACTTTCACTAGCATCTTAACAGAACAGAATAACACAGCTGGAAGGGATCTTGGAGGTCTTCTAGTCCAACCCCCTGCTCAAGCAGGAGATCCTACGCCATTCTGGATAAATGGCTCTCCAATCTCTTCTTAGTTGTGTTAGCACCCACAACTTAGCACCTACAACTTCTGGAGGCAGACTAATTGTTCTCACCACCAGGAAATTTTTCCTTAATTCCAGGTTGCTTCCCTCCTTGATTAGTTTCCATCCATTGTTTCATGTCTTGCCTTCTGGTGCTTTGGAAAACAGGTTGACTCCCCTCTTTTTTGTGGCAGACATTGGGACACTGCTATCAGGTCACCCCCTCGTCCTTGTGTTCATTAAACTAGACATCTCCAATTCCAGCAACCGTTCTTCGTATGTTTTAGCCTCCAGCCCCCCAATCATCTTTGTTGCTCTTCTCTGCCCTCTTTCCAGAGTCTCAACATCTTTTTTATATCGTGGCGACCAAAACTGGATGCAGTATTCCAAAGTGTGGCCTTACCAAGGCCTTGTAAAGCGGTATTAACACTTCATACCCGCTCTTCTAACGGTTTCCCATAATTAGCGGTGTTTGAGTCAAGGATGGGAGGCGGGTGGGAAGAGAGACAGACAGAATGCAAAGGACGAAAAAGGAAGACGCGTCTGGGAATGGCAAGAATCACATCTGAGCAAGCCACCCCCAGGGCAGCACTCCTTGCTCTGTCCTCCTCGACAGAGGAAGTGCAAAAAGACACTTCTGCAAAAAACGTCAAAGGCAAAAAGCCGAGGCTTAGCCGTGGCTTGTGATGCAAGCAGGACGAACCTCAAAGCCGGAGGGCATCGCGCTTAAAGAAGAGAGGACTCAGTTTGCAATGACCCAGAAAACAGAAATCAGTGCAAGGAAATGGAAAAGGGTTTTCTAAAGGGGAGGAGGGAGAGATATTTTTCCCCCCTCAAACAAAAAAAAAGTCACGTGCAAGGAACGACTGATTGGGACGAAGCTATCCTTCCTTCTCTGGTTTCCACGTGTCCAGAGATAAAATAAGCTTACTCAATTGGAAGCGCTTCAAAAGCCGGGGAAAATTTTCTATTTACTATTACTAGTATTTTCAATGTTAGTAAATTTAAGATGTGGAATTCGACTCCCAGAATTCTGGGAGTTGAAGCCCACCCACCTTAAAGCATACTGGCTGGGGAATTCTGGGAATAATAATAATAATAATAATAATAATTAATAATAATAATAATAATAATAATAATAATAATAATAATAATAATAATAATAATAATAATAATAATAATAATAATAATAATAATAATAAAGTTGGAAGGGACCTTGGAGGTCATCTGGTCCAACCCCCTGCTCAGGCAGGAAACCCTATACCATTTCGGACAAATGGCTGTCCAGTCTCTTCTTACAAACTTCCAGTGTTGGAGCATTCACCGCTTCTGGAGGCAGGTGGTTCCACTGGTTAATTGTTCTCACTGTCGGGAAGTTTCTCCTTAGTTCCAGGTTGCTTCTCTCCTTGGTGAGTTTCCACCCGTTGCTTCTTGTCCTGCCTTCAGGCACTTTGGAGAATAGCTTGACTCCCTCTTCTTTGGGGCAGCCCGAGATACTGGAAGGCTGCTATCCTGTCCCCCCTCGTCCTTCTCTTCGTTAAACTAGACATACCCAATTCCAGCAACCGTTCCTTATATGTTTTAGCCTCCAGTCCCCTAATCATCTTTGTTGCTCTTCTCTGCACTCTTTCTAGAGTCTCCGCATCTTTTTTACATCGTGGTGACCAAAACTGGATGCAGAATTCCAAGTGTGGCCTTATCAAGGCCTTGTAAAGTGGTATTAACACTTCACGTGATCTTGATTCTATCCCTCTGTTAATGCAGCCTAGCATGCACAGTCAATTAATCGCCCCTTGCTGGGCTGCAAATCCCTAGCTGTGGAGGTCAATGGCTGGGGATGATGGAAGCTGGGTTGAGATAGGCTCAATTGCGGTTGTAAATTGAGGACTACCTGTAAAAAGAGGACAGGAAGGGGGAAGGGTTTGTCCACTCCTCTGATCCTGGAGACTAATCCATAAGCAGAGGGAAACCGAGTCACCCTCTTGGGTGTTTCCACTCTCCCGCTGTTTGGAAGGAAAGCCCGTGATAAGCCGGTGGTGTGTGTGGGTGTGTGTGGAGGGGTGGTTGGGAACAGGAAAAGACCTTGGGAGAGGAAGCACGGATGTTGAATGAGAAAAGGGACTAGGCCAGAGAGCGCAAGGAAGATGGCACACACTAGACACAACAAAGATTGTGTTCGGGGTGGAGGCAGAGAACAGACCGGGTCAATCCGGTCTGTGATTTTCCTATTAAGCAAACGGGTGGCTGTCAAACCCTCGGGTCGACAACAGAGACTTCCCCTTCTTAGAATAGAATAACGGAGTTGGAAGGGGCCTTACAGGTCATCTAGTCCAACCCCCTGCTCAAGCAGGAGACCCTACACCACTTCTGGCAGATGGCTGTCCAGTCTCTTCCTGAAAGCTTCCACAACATCTGGTGGCAAGC